GGCTAAAACAGGACCCACACCTTTCACCTCTCACAAAAACCAACTCACGCTGGATAACAGACTTAAACCTAAGATATGAAAGTATTAGAACTCTAGAGGAAGAGTTGGAACACTCTCCTAGACATTGGCCTGGGCAAAGAGTTTATGAAGAAGTCCCCAAAGGCAATCACAGCAGCAACAAAAATAAATAAATGGGACATGATCAAACTACAAAGCTTCTGCACAGCCAAAGAAATAGTCATGAAAGTAAACAGACAACCTACAGAATGGGAGAAAATTTTTGCATCCTATGCATCCGATAAGGGACTGATAACTAGAATATACTTAGAACTCACGAAAATTAGGAAGAAAAATCAAATAACCCCATTAAAAAGTGGGCAAAGGACTTGAACAGAAATTTTTCTAAAGAAGACAGAAGAATGGCCAACAAACATATGAAGAAATGCTCAACATCTCTAATCATCAGGGAAATGCAAATCAAAACCACAATGAGATATCACTTAACCCCAGTGAGAATGGCCTTCATCAAAAAATCTCCAAACAATAAATGCTGGCGTGGTTGCTTGCGGAGAGAGAGGAACACTCCTACACTGCTGGTGGGACTGCAAACTAGTTCAACCTCTGTGGAAAGCAATATGGAGATACCTTAAAGCGATACAAGTGAATCTACCATTTGATCCAGCAATCCCATTGCTGGGCATCTACCCAAATGATCCAGTGACACTCTACAAAAAAGACACCTGCACTCGAATGTTTATAGCAGCACAATTCATAATTGCAAGGCTGTGGAAACTGCCCAAGTGCCCATCAATCCAAGAATGGATTAATAAAATGTGGTATATGTATACCATGGAGTACTATTCAGCTCTAAGAAACAATGGTGATATAGCACATCTTATATTTTCCTGGTTAGAGCTGGAACCCATACTACTAAGTGAAGTATCCCAAGAATGGAAAAACAAGCACCAGATATATTCTCCAGCAAACTAGTATTAACTGAGTAGCACCTAAGTGGACACATGGGTGCTACAGTAATAGGGTATTGGGCAGGTGGGAGGGGGGAGGGGGGCGGGTATATACATGCATGGTGAGTGAGATGTGCACCATCTGGGGGATGGTCATGATGGAGACTCAGACTTTTGGGGGGAGGGGGGGAAATGAGCATTTATTGAAACCTTAAAATCTGTACCCCCATAATATGCCAAAATAAAAAAAAAAATAGGCCTGTCTATAAATCAGATATCATTAGCATCTTAGTATTAGTGAATTCTAGCATTCTTTGTTGTAATATTCTTAGATACGAACACGCTGCATTTATTAGATAGCTACCATGCCACGGTCTGTATATAAAAATAAAATCCCTATGCCCATGTTTACAGTTTAGTGTGAACGAAATACAATTAAATACACACACAAATAAGTAGAAAAAAAATTGTAAGAATGTAAATTGTTTTCAGCAGTTTTCTCTAAAGCAGAGTTCTAAGATACTTTTGTATTCTGTATAATATATTCTATAATGCTTAAATTTTTATAATGGGTATATATTCTTATATACATTGAAAAAAATAAAAACTTTTTTAAAAGGAGAAAAATCACCTGAAGGACTTTTATTTTTTTTTTATTTATTTTTTATTTTTTTTTTATCCCAACAATGCCATTGGTATGAAGGACTTTTAAAACTATCTGTCCCCTATCTTTTCTCTACTACTCTAATCTTAAAATTCACTAACAGTGGTTTTAAAATTATAATATTGTAAGTTCAATGATACTCACATAAGTACACAAATATTATAACATATAAATTGATTATTTGTGTTAGAAAAATAATTAGAAACTCAAAATGTTGACCATTAAGAGATTAGCTAAATAAATTATAGGGCATTTATACCAAGAATACTTTTAAAAGAAACAGTGTGGTGATAAGGTTAAGAGTACAAACTTTAGAGCCCAGGTGCTTGAGTCTGTACCCCAGCTCTGCTGTTTGTTACTATAAACCAATTAATAACTTAAAAAATATATAGAAACACTTAACAAGCCTTTGATAAATGTTAACTAATACCTGTTATGTGTACTGAAATGATACAAAGTCAAACTTTTATTATTAAGTGAAAAAAGACACACAATATTTTAAATAATCCAATTTTAGTAAAAAAAATTATAAGGAGAACATGTTAGCATATGATTAGAAAATGTGGGAGGTGGGATGACATGTAGAATCACAAACTTGGGTTTTAGTTCTGGACTCACCACATACTATGTGTGTGACCTCAGGCAAATAATTTTTCAAGGCCTCAATTTCTTCACCTATAAAATGAGGGTAACAACCTCATGGGGTTGTTGCAAGGATTAAATAAAGAATATACCTAAAGCACAACACACAATATCTAGCACATAATAAGAGTGGTAAATGTTGGCTACTCTTGGTATTATCATCATTATAATTGTTATTAATAAGAAAAAACATGAATGTCTTGTTAACTACCATGTTTCCCTGAAAATAAGACCTACCCATAAAATAAGCCCTAGCAGGATTTCTAAGCATTTGCGCAATACAAGCCCTACCCCGAAAATAAGACCTAGTGATGGGCGTGGCTACACAGCATATCTGCACAACCCATGCATTTCGTCTCAGAGCAGTAAAGAAAATGAGCAGCCCTTCTCATCTGCCCCATGAGAGCTCTGTTGCTCGACATGAGAGATTGGGGCCAATGGTTCTAAAGGAAATAGAGTCGCAAGCAATTCAGGATGGAATTCGGGGTTTGAAGAGTTAGGATGATGTTCCAGAAGAAGACAACTTAACTACATTTGAATAAATGTAGATTGTTGTACCATACTTAAAAAAAAATAACACATCCCCTAAAAATAAGCCCTAGGGTGTCTTCTTGAGGAAAAATAAATATAAGACCCTGTCTTATTTTTGGGGAAACACAGTATTATATACCTATTACCTAAAACAATGTCTTGTACAAAGTAGATACTTAATAACTACTTCTCAATTACAAGGATATTTGCTTTCATCACTATATATATAATTCTGTAATGTAAGTACTGCTATCAGAAAAAATACCAAATGATATATTTTTAACCAAACAATAATAAAACAATATTTTCCTTAAAGTAAAAGCAAGAAAGTTCTAATTTCTCTAAAACATTCAATTCAAAAAAATCAGGGGAAAATGGAAAGAAGCAATATGATAAAAGAAAAAAGGAAAACAAGTTACTTAATAGAACAGCAAAGGCTTTATCTCAAGGGCAATAATGAGAATAAGCAGTTTTATTTTTCCACCTTTCTAAAGGTTAGCCAGATTATTCTAAGCAATTTTTTGGGTCTCAGAACTAAGTGTAATTTTAAAACAGGTGCAATCACATTTAGCTTGCATTTCAAACATTAATCAAACTAATTAAACTAATTAATCAAATTAACCATTCTCTTTTTCAGCTTTTCCAAATAACAAGCCAGATATATGGAGGCATCGAATATGTGAGTTAAAACTTTTTCAAATCATTGTATACACTAGAACAATAGTTCTCAAGTGTGGTCCATGGATCTCTAGGAATCCCTAAGATCCTTTTCAAAGGGTCTGTGAGCTCAAAATTGTTTCCATTATAGTTCTAAGAAAGTTTTTGTCTTTTTCCTTGCTTTTCGATTTGCACTGTTGGCACAAAAGCAATAGTATATAAAACTGGTGGTATTTTAGCACAAATCTAGACAGTGCCATTAAACTACTTCACCGACATATAGTAATAAAACAAAAAGTCAGTTTTTACTGAAAAATGTCTTTGATAAAATAGTAAAAGTTATTTTTATTAAATTCCTACATTGGAGTACAAGTCTTTAATATGCTGTGAAATGAAACAGAAAGTAGTACTAAAGAACTGCTGCTGCATACTAAAGTATGCTAGCTATCTCATGGAAAGGCACTTGAGCAATTTAGTTGTGAACTAAATCGGCAGCTTTTTTCTTGAAACATCATTTTTACTTGAAAGAAGAAATGACAGACAAATACGGTTTTCCAGACAAGGGTATTTGGCAGATATTTTCTTCAAAATGAGTGAAATCAGTCTGTGGCTTCGGAGAAAACACCTGATGATATTTGTTGTCATTGATAAAGTTTGAACTTTGAAGTAAAAATCACAACTTTATAAAACTTGGATCCATCACTGTGAGCTTAAAAATTCCTCGATACTTAACAACTTTTCTGATGATATCATAGATGATATTAACAAATGTGACTTCTTGTCAAATCATATCATTGTCAAAGCATATCAAATGTATCAACACTTAGAAGATGTACATAAATCAGTAAGTTTTCCAAATGACCAATGTACAATGGTACAAAATTATGCAGGAATAAAAGACCCATCTGAAGGGCAAGATAATCCAGAGGATTTTAACAAAAGGATTTTACAAAGTACAAATTTCACATTGCAACTAACCTTTAAGAAAGCAACACTTTTAAAGTTTTGACATAGTATCAAAGAATATCTCATTTATCAGAAAAAGATAATAATCCTCCCTTTCCAACTACACATACATGTGAGAATGGATTTTCTTTATATATTTCAAGCAAAAGCAAAACAGAACAAAAACACTACAACAGATTCAATGAAGTAACAGATAGGAGAATCCAGTTGTGTACTATTACGCTAGATATCACAAAGATTTGCAAAAATGTAAAACAATATATATTTCTGATTTTTTTGTTTTGGTAAAAAGTTATTTTTCATTTAAAAATATGTCATATATGTAAACATGTAATGAGTTTATTATTTTTAACTCAACTGATAAATATTTTTAAATGTTTCAATTTTAATATATTGATCCATAATCCTATAAACAAATGCTCTTTGGGGAATCTCAATAATTTGTAAGAGTATACAGGGGTCCTGAGACAAGTAAGTTTGAGGATTGCTATACTAGAGACACACAGTAGTAGACTGGACTCCTATTTCGAAAAAGGGTTGCTCTTGAGACTTTTCAGAGTATTCAAGGACCATACCTGCTTGGCAAAAAATATTGTGTCAAGTCTGGAGTCCTGAACCACAGAGCCTGCTGGTTCTTCTCCTGGCTGCCACTTGAAAAGAAAAATTAATCCATGAACTGGCCTACAAAATAAAACACAAATTAGTGACACCAAACCTTGCTTCTTTTATAACACGTTGTTAATATATGAAATTTTAGTCACTTATTTAACAAATACAATGCAAATGAAGTACATTAATTAAATATGAACAAATTTTTAAAGATTGATATTGCCATTCATAGTTACTAAAATGTTGCCTTATAATACGCTAATAAAACTTTACATCAGGCCGGGCGCGGTGGCTCACGCCTGTAATCCTAGCACTCTGGGAGGCCGAGGCGGGTGGATTGCTCCAGGTCAGGAGTTCGAAACCAGCCTGAGCAACAGCGAGACTCTGTCTCTGCTATAAATAGAAAGAAATTCATTGGCCAACTAATATATATAGAAAAAATTAGCTGGGCATGGTGGCACATGCCTGTAGTCCCAGCTACTCGGGAGGCTGAGGCAGGAGGATTGCTTGAGCCCAGGAGTTTGAGGTTGCTGTGAGCTAGGCTGACGCCACGGCACTCACTCTAGCCAGGGCAACAAAAGTGAGACTCTGTCTCCAAAAAAAAAAAAAAAACTTTACATCAATTACAATAAAATCATAATTAAAGGTTTATTCTCAGATCTGTGGACTACTCATTTCTGCCTTATATCACCTCTCTTAAAAACAAAAAATTAAAACATAGCAAATCTAGAAGCTGTTAACCCTAGACTGAATTCAAAGATATATCAATAAAGTTCATGTAGGCTGTTTACAGATAAATGGCTGATAGTGTATGTGTGAATATATATAACTGATATTAAATATAGGAAGCTACCTCTCTATATTATTAGATTCATGTACAATCCTTCATACTACAGTACGAATGGATGCTGTCATCTCATACATAATGAAGTCATCCACTTTCCTAAAGGAACTGTTGTTGCCAATGAAACATTAAATCACTACTTTAGGATTACCTACAGTCTTTCACAACTGCCTTCTACTCAAAACAAAAAATCTTTCCTATCCTTTTAAAGATAGTTCAAATGATACATTAAATTAACCTTCACTGATCTCAGACAGAATTGATCTCATTCCATCTAAAGTGATTGTTCTTCTTGAAGGGAAGAGGAAGGTAGGAAGCAGCAAACCACCTTCTATTAAAAACAGTTGTCTGCCGGGTGCGGTGGCTCATACCTGTAATCCTAGCACTCTGGGAGGCCAAGGTGGGCAGATTGCTCGAGGTCTGGAGTTCGAAACCAGCCTGAGCAACAGCGAGACTCTGTCTCTGCTATAAATAGAAAGAAATTCATTGGCCAACTAATATATATAGAAAAAATTAGCTGGGCATGGTGGCACATGCCTGTAGTCCCAGCTACTCGGGAGGCTGAGGCAGGAGGATTGCTTGAGCCCAGGAGATTGAGGTTGCTGTGAGCTAGGCTGAGGCCATGGCACTCACTCTAGCCTGTTCAACAAAGTGACACTCTGTTCTAAAAAAAAAAACCAGTTGTCATATGCGTAAGTCCCCATTTTCCCTTTTAAAGCCTATTCCTTGTCCCTATTCCAAAATTCCAAGAACTCTCCCACCAATGAAAACTCTGATAGCCCTCCATTTGCAGATACAGTGTCAGTGTTTGAGAGCATGGAGGTCAGCAGTAAGAAGCTCAGAGAGGTGATTTTGGTCTGAAAATTGGGGATAGGGGAAGGTTCTTCCTGGCATCAACATTTGAAACTTGAACTGTAACTTTCCCAAGAAGCAATGTGATAATGTGTAGATAAGTTATGAATTAATACTTAGATATATTTTCTATTAAATATGCTTTTGTAGACTGACCTATTATTCATGTTTTTTATGTTAAAATTTCCATGTTCTAACACTATTGATAGATAAGTGAATTAAAAAATCAACCAACGAATACTGTGGATATGGAATTACAGAAAAAGGTTTGAATGCCTTGCAATTTATTTATCTATCAGCCTCAGGTTCTTGGTTATAAAATGTAAATAATAATACCTATCTCAGAGGATTGAAAAGAGACATAAAGGAGACAATGTATTCAGCCTAGAGTAATCCAAGTAAAATAAACAGACAAATTTGAGTATCTTTTAAAAGTTTGCTGAAGTATAGACATATTATTTTTAACACAACCAAAATTATACTTACTTTAATTTTTCAAAATTCTCAGGCTCTAAACTCCATATTTCTTCTACTTGGGCTCCTCGGCAACCTGAAATAAGAAATTATCCTCAGAAGACAAACAAATTATCTTCTTTATTTCTTTTCAGAAAAAAATAATTCATTTTTTCTTTACTATTAAATATTAATCGAAAGAAATGCACAATTGGTAGCAATAAGAAATGATAAATTAAAATGGCAAAACTGATAAAGCTCGCAAATTCTATTATTTCCTTTAAAATTTCCCAATTATTAATATTAACAATGGCAACATATTACTTTCATAATTTTAAAAGGTTTCAATAGTTTTCATTGAATCACCACCCTATGACTATTTCTTCTGTCTCTCTCAATCCCTGGTTTCTCTTCACTCTTTTTACTCACATGTTAAGTTTCCCCATCTGTCTTTAACCTTCTTTTTCTTACTGTTCACCTTTTGGGGGTCAGGGTGGGTAGGAGAGCAGAAGTAAATAACTACCACTTAACAGTGACTTTCAAATCAAATCTTTAGTTCTGACGCTTTTCCTAAATTACAATTATACATCTTCAACTATGTCAAAGTCACCTCCCTACCCCCTCCCCAAATATGTTCTTCTTCTAGAACAGTTGTTCTCAACTATGGTGAATGTACCCAGCAGGGAACATTTGGCAAAGTGAGTGACATTTTTTATTGCCACTGGAGTGAGGGTAGTTTGCTACCCCTATCTATTGGGTAGAGGCCAGGGATGTAGATAAACATCCTACATTGTTCAAGATTGCCCCTGACAGCAAAGAATTATCTGGTACATGCATTCCCAGTTACTTGGGAGGCTGAGGTGGGAGGATAGCTTGAGCTCAGGAATTTGAGGTTGTAGTGAGCTATGATGATGTCACTACACTCCAGCCTAGGCAAGAGAATGAGACCCTGTCTCAAAAAAAAAAAAAAAAAAAAAATGATCTGGCCCAAAACGTCAACGGTGCCAAAATTGAGAAACACTGTCCTACTAGCATGTATCACTGTAATAGTGTAGTGGTTAAGAAGTTGGCCTTTTCTGCCAGAGTTTGAATCCTGGCTTCTCCATTTACTAGCTACTAGCTGTATGATCATTTACCTCTCCATTCCTCATACTCACAGAGTTGTTGTGAGGAATAAATAAGATAATGCATGGGATATGTTTAACATAGTACCCAGCATACCCTAAGGGTCCACCATATGTTAGCTAGAATTACCATCACAATACAAAAAACAACCATATTTACCAGGGTTTTTTATGTCTTTATGTCTACTCTTTATGTCTACGTAAAATGCTTTAAATGCATTTTCCCCAATCCCTGAAAGGTAAGATAAAGAAAGAGGCTTTGGATGTTAAGTGGTTTGCCTACATTCACTACAGCTAGTCGGAGCCAGAAAACTAATTAAAAGCCACATCTGGTTCTAAAGTGTGGGCACTTTCTAATATTTCAGATTATTTTCAAATGAGAGCTAGAGATACCTTTATGCTGCCTACAAAACCCAATGGTTTAAAAAAAAAAGTTGAGTCAACCAAAAATGTGACCTTGGGCATTCATATCATTCTGTACCTCAATTTGCTCTGTTTAGCAAATATCTACTAAGTGCCCATTCTGGTATTAAAAATATTGTACAAGGAGAGTTACTACATGCTATGTTGTGAAGAACTGGAAAAAAAAAAAAAAAACCTGAATGTCTAGCAACATATTGACCATAATGGACATTCATATATATCAAGGTGGGAAAAACCTCATAAATGTGAACCTATGCTTGTGTGAGTGTAAGAAGGGCATGGAAAGACGCTAATGCAATTGTTAACATTGGTTACTCTTATGGGAAATCAACTGTGTAAAAACAAAACAAAAAAGCCAAACATTAAAACATTCTACATATCATACCACCACCACCACAACAAAAAAACACTAAATAAAAGTGCCCCAAAATCTTCTGCAGTTAGAATTTCAAGCGGTGACGCTGTTTAAATAATCACATGTTAAACATACACACGTCTCTTTATTTAAGGAAAATATAGTACTCAACTACTAGCACCTATCTCCTTATATATTCAATATCTAATACAGTATGGCATAATGGAAAGAAATAAGCAATGACTCAAGAGACCTAGGTTCTAATCTCAGAACTGCCTCAAAGTTCTTAACCTTGAGAAAGAATACAATTTCCTTGAGCCTCACTTTCCTCATGTATATATAAAATATTACCTGCTTCATCCAAAGCACAAAATTCTCATGAAGTATATAAGGTTATCAAACACTAAACACTAAGAATCACTTAATATAGACTCCCCTAATATGTATTAACTAAGAAGTTGGGGAGGAGAGGTTTTTAAAAGTTAATGAAATACTAGTATTTACCAAATATCTTTTGTGTGCCAAGCATGGGATTAGGCCCTGGGAAGAAGAGAAATTAATAAACTATTGCCACAGTACTTAATAACCTCACAATCTAGTAGGAAACAAGCATATACAGTTCAAAGACAGTGTAGCATGCATAAATTACATATGAAGGGTACATAGGATATGTTCTAGAAGTTCAGAGGTAGGAAAGAACACTACTATCTGTGCTGGTCAGAAAAACTGTAATGGATAATTGAACTGGGTCTTAAAAAGGATGATCATATATGACTTGTCATCCAAACCAGAACACTGTTACAAAGCGAAAGAGGGTGCTAAAATTAAAACATTCTGAAATATTTATGGATCGACTAACACATTCGTATTGGTACGTTAGGTCTATAATAGTTCTATTCAGAAACTAATTTTCTTAAAAATATACCTGGAGCATTCCTCCCTAAGAAAAGTACTCTTGTTGAGCTCTCCCAAATTGTTGCCAAGTGCCTTAAATGTAATCCACTGCTAGGTAGGCTATCTTCCAACAATGTTGACAATAATTTGTCATTCCCCTAACCTTACTAACAAGTCCATCAGAAGCAACAGGGAGGATCCTAGCTTCTGCACCTTCCACAAAAAACACTCCCAGGGCCCCCAGGTGTCTTCCCCAACCCCATACTCAGACATTCCTTGGTACAGATAAATCCCATTTGGGTGGCAATGTGACCAAATAGAAAAATCTGAATTAACAGTCCTCAAGCATCTCTCCAAAAACAAAGATTCAATTATCTGAACAGAATTGGCAGCCCTAAATTGGAGGCATTGTTAACTTGTACCTCTAAACTGAGTCTGCCTCAACTTGCTTCCAGGGGCACCATATGCACCCCCAAGAATATATTTCTATTTCTTGTGTGAAAGCTAGGCATTAACTTGCCTCTCTCCTCAAAATAAGGTGAAATTCACCTTAGGAGCAGTCATAATACACCTTCATGTTAAGGCAACATCACCTTGGACCCCAAAGTCATTCACATTTACCTTAACTTATGGGTCAGAGTTGTTATAGATGATGGAATTATTCTAACTTCCTCTGCATGCCAAGGTAGAGGCCGCAAAATCACTAATACACCTTGCAGTACCTGGATAAACAGACTGAGCCAAGAGGAAAGGTCAATACAAAAACTTTAAAAAGCTACCTGGCTTTCTAAGGTAAACACTACCAGAGATAAACAGAATTGGCACCAACCCCGTCAGTCAGGTCAGATTAGTCAGAATGGCTGAGGGAATAGCACATTTCATGTGGAAAGGGTGGGTATTTGGGGGACACAATTCTCAATGGGTTTCTCCTGTTTCTACATGTTTTCTGAGAGAAATTACCAGCTTTGCTCTGGACTATCTTTTCAAGGATGTTCATATAGTAAACAGACGTGGAATATAGAGATAAGCATCTCTCTCTGGAGCAGAGGGAAGATTTATTTGCTGTCCAAGATAATAAAAAGAACAACTACATAGAAGCAAAGGTTGAGCAGGTTTGCTAATAGCCCCTTTATAAGATTACAAGTTCCCTAAGCTCAGAGTTCCTCAGGTATTGTACATACTTACTATGTGTGCAGCCTCCACCTGACTCTGCCTCCATCCCCGTGGACTTGTAGGACAAGGGAACCAATATGCAAATGTAATCTCATGCTGCCTACCACAACGTATGTAATAAAATCCTTTATCTCTAAACCAAAAGTTGTCTACTAGCATCTATGAAACTGGTAAGCTAACTGTTAACTGGCAAGGAGTATAAAATACAACATTTCATAATTCTTAACAGATTTTAGATTTTGTCAAATGCATTTTTCATCTATCTATTCACATAATCATGATTTTTTTCCTTTTTGGTTTCCTAATATGGTGAGTTACATTAATTTTTTAATGTGAAACCAATCCTAAATTCCTGGGATAAATCCCATGTAGTAATGATGTATATTTATCCCTTTAATGTATTTTGTTGGATTCAATTTCCTAAAATTTTGAATTTTTACATTTATGTTAATGTATATAGGCCTGCAGTTTTCTTTTCTTGTAATGTCTTTGTCTGGATTTGGTGTCAGAGTAATGTTGGCTCTCACAGAATAAGTTAGGAAGTATTCCTTCCTCTCAAATTTTTTTGGGACGAGTTTTTATAGAATTTGAATTATTCCTTAAATATTTGATAGAATTTACCAGTGAAACCATCTTGGCTTGAGTTTCTTTGTGGGAAGATTTTAAACTACAATTTCAATTCCTTGGGGTAAAGTTATTCATAATATTCCCTTATTATCCTTTTAATACCTGTAAAATATGTAGTGATCTCACCTCTCATTCCTGGTAATTTGTCTCCTCCTTTTATGTTCAGTCTACCTAAAAGTTTACCAAATTTTATTGATCTCAAAGAAACAGCTTTTGGTTTCATTTATTTTCTCCATTGGTATTTTTCTCTTCACTAATTCCACTCTGATCTTTCACTAATTTCCACTCTGATCTTTATTATTTCCTTTTATCTGCTAACTTCAGTTTTAATGTGCTCTTCATTTTCAAGTTGCTTAAAATGAAATCTGGGGTCATTGATTTATCATAGGAAAAGTAAATCCAGTTTCCATTACTCCATCTTAGCCGGAAGCAGATGTTTATAGCATCTATTTTTATTAGTAAACTATCACAGTTTGTTTGGCAGGTTTATGTATTATGTATGCACCATACCAATTAAAAGTATAGTTCTGCTTCATTAGTTTCCTACCTGAATAAAAGCTTGGTTTCCATTAATCTTTGTATTTATATCTTCACTGCATCCACAAATAATTTCCCCTCAATGATGGAACTTTTAAAATGAGTTTACAATAGCACTCACAGATACTACACTTTTGAAAGAATCAACTTATAAAAGCTTTTTTAAAGCATGAATTAGATGGGAAAAAAATGGAAATGATGGAAATGACTGGAATAAACTGATTTTCTCTTTGAAGCATTTGATAAGACTGCCATCGCTTAAATTTTTGCAAAGTTTTTCTGGTAATAAAGCCAATTCATTAACAGTTATTGCTTTATTTTTCAAATGTGCAAATGCATAAGGTACATTTACATATCATTTTTGATGCCTGACTATATAATTTTCAATTACAGATTTTCTGCACATATGAAATTGACAGCAGTAGCTGTTAAAAGACTGAATTAATTTTAAAATAAAGTTACCTAGTACAATATTTCTGAAAGTTAACTTTAATACGTCATAATAGTTAAGGTTCTAAAGGTAAAATTTATGGCTAAACCTGCAGACATCTGAGACTCAGTGCATATCCAAAACTGAACAAGCTAGCTCTTCACTTGTAATTGTACTTCACCATCCCCCCAAGCTAGAAATCATGGAGTCATTTTTGTCTCTTTTTCCCACATCAACTCAGTCAGCAACGTCCTGATGACTTTTTTTCTTTTATGTAAGAGTAATATACTACTACTCAACCTTTACTGTAAGGTTGGCAGCCCTGAGAACTCCTTTTTTAATGTAGCATGTTATGGATGTATTTCTGCTCCCAAAGGAAGGAGGAGCAGACATTTCCAACCATGCAAATGTTGATTTAAATTCTGCAAAATTATTGAATCTACTGCCTTCTCTCTAAACCACTACTTTATGTGAAATCAATCACCTCAGACTCTGACCATTTTAAGAGACTTCTAGCTTCTCTCACTTCATTCCAATCCACCCTGCCCCCTACAAGCATAGTAAACCTTAATTATAAAAGTAATGTCATTTAAGCATTTAAATATTTTTGACAGTTAAGTCCCCAATTACTACAAGGCAAGCCAAACTATACAACAGGGCATACAATCTGGCCTTAGTTTATCTCTTCAGCTTCAGATCCAAATACACTCCTCCAATCTGTTACATTTTAGTCCTTTTGCTAGCTGTTGCCTAAACCATATACTTTTAACACCACTAACACCATGCTTTTCTTTCTGCCAATGCTCTTCCACAGTCTGTGTTCTTACATTTTGTACATACTCTAACAGAGCAAGTACCATACAATTACATACCATATTATAGTTTGTGAGATTTTCAGAACAGCAGTCATGGTTTATTCACATTAAAAATTGCCAGTCATTACCACTGTGCCTAAGATATAGTAAACAATATATGCTTGATAAATGATATTCCAAATATTCAATACCTATATCAACATTTAATTGTTATCTAGAGTACAAGTTTTAACATAATAGGTAGAATTAATAATACTTGGGAAATGGAACAGATAAAAAACTTGCTGCCCAAAGAGGCTGGGAACAAGAGAAATAGGGAAGGATAAAAAGCCAAACGTGTTGATTATTTACAATAGAAGGCAATAAATATAGCCAGAGAGAAATCATGAGGTAAGTAGGTGGCCTCTAGTATAGAGCTAGCTCAAGAAAACTCACTTCACCGGAAGCCAGAAATGAGCAGAGAGCTGAACCAGTCAGCGTGTGCGGACGTCCTGTCCCAAAGAGCTAGTCACACATTCAAGGTGTTCTGCTTTGAGTAACTAGAATCTCGAGTTCCTTGGCGGCCTGGGCCTTACACACCCCATCCTTGAGAGAAGGCACACCCCAAGCTGGCTTTCTCCCGCAGGACTAATGGCCCGAGCGATGCACCTGACCACACGAGCCCGCGACAGGGAGCGCTCCGCAGAGAAGGGACAGCGGAAAGGAAAATATATGCATAAGGGATCGAGTAGGGAAGGCCCTCGAGTCAATTATAGCATTTGGGTGCTAAGACCTGATGATATAGCAGGGCGGAAGGCAGACACGATCCTCGTCCTCATGGTGTGGCTCTCAAAGCTACCGTGGAAACGTGACTGCCACGGGCTGAGAAGGGGACGGAAGACCTACATTTCCCCTGCCTTGACTCCAGGTTCCTGAAGTCCCCTCTCTTCAGACGCGAGGCGGCGGTGGCTGCAGGGAACCACTCCATGCCCAGCTTGGGCCTCCTCCCGTGACCCTCGGCCCAGGACAGTCCCCTTGGTTCTCACCGAATCCTTTAATGAGCTCGGTGAAGACCCCGGGGTCGCTTTCCATGAGGCACCACTCCCCGGCATTGCCCGTCATGGCCCCGGCCTCACACCGCCCCTCTCCACCTCTTGGTCGCGGCCGCCCCCAGCACCGGCTGCGGCCGACCACAGATCTCAGCAAACCCGCCGCCGCGCTCGTCAACCCCACGTCACCCCGCCTACTTCCCGACAGCCTCCGGGCGCCGTCACCTGCTACGCGACGGAGCGCGGGAGGACGCTCTAGCCACCCAGGAGACGTCGAAACTCTTCCTAGGCCTTGCAGGACCCGTAGCGATTCAGAAGGGCGGGAGCCTGAGAAGAAAGGGCGGGGAGCCAGAGCGCCGAAGGAGGTAACATCCGGGATCCTCGCCACTCTGGGGGGCGGGGCAAGAGGAAAGGGGTGGGACTCGTTCCCGGGAACCGAACCTGGAAGTCCCCGCAGCAGTGAGGCTGGAGCTGGAGCTGTGGCCGCCCGTCAGGCCACCGCGTCTTGTCGCTTCCCGGCGCTGCGCAGGGCTTCTCCCGGCGGCGCTGCTGGGCTGGCTGCGAGGCACAGGTGAGGAAATGGCGGGAGGCTGGTTGCCGGGCCCTTTGTGCGGTCTGAGCAGCTCACGGTCTGACCAGTCCTCCGTCTCTCATCCCGCGTCCCGCCGGCGGAGGCCCGGCCGACACCGCGACACCGTCGTTCTCCCCGCTGCGCGTCTGCGCCTGCCCACGCTGGGTAGCGGAACCGGCGTCGCTGTGGGGACATCCTCGCTGGGCCGGGCCGACCGCTCTGAGGGTGGGGCCTTCCCGAACCCGGTACCGCTCCTGCTCGCTCGGCTCGCGCAGGCGGGCGGCAGGAGGCCTGCTTTCCTCCTCCTCCTCCTCCCGCGGCTTCTGCGCCGAGAGGCGTCGACCCGGATCCGGGGTTTTGGGAGAAGGATCTTTGTGGGAGACAGGCGAATTTATCCTAGAGGGAATAACATGGGGAGAGGAGAAAGATCTGTCCTGTAGTCCATGGGGATGATACATTGGCCAAGGGCATGCGATGCTCAAAGGAAAATGAGCTTGAAAAAAAGTGTAGTATATTAATCTAAAAACATTGGGGATGGTTGTAAGACTGCATGATAAATTAAACCAAAAATATCTATTTTAATTAAATCGTTCTCATTCAACAGGCTCTAACAGAATATTGTAGTCGTTAAGAGTATATTTATATTTTACTTCTTAAAATCCACATGTATCAAGAAAGGACTTTGGCTTCCAGGAATGTTTTAGTGGATGAAATTCTGACTCCTTCTTAAACAGGTGACCTGTGCCCTCGAGTTAGGGAGCATTGTGCTAAGGAATATGTGAAGCCACAAAACAAACATGGTAAATTTTACGAGGGGAACAATAAAGCAACTTTTGTATTAAAATAATCATGAATATGGTATGGAGTAGAAGCCAAAATTTGTGTGGAGTATTGGTTAAAAAAAATTTTTTTTTTAATTTCTTCCTAGACACTCTGCCCTCAGGTTGGTGGGGGTGTTCTGTTCAGTACCATATCTGCCCTTGAGATACTTAATAGGAAAAGTTTGAGAAATGCAAGGGTGTCTTGCCTTATTTCGCTATGAACCATAGCTAGAATGATGGGTATCAGAGCCCAAAGCAGTTTGCAGTATTTTTTAATCTGTACAATTGCTCGAAAATGTTTTCTGAGCTAAATAAATACATCAAAAGTAAATTTTATGTGATACCCAACTTAATGTGGTACTTATTGTAGAAAGACCAACCTGAAAATGTAGCCTTTAACACAATCTAGAAGTAATCAGAAAGGGGGCTATAAATTCTTTATGATAACATTTAGTCCCAGCCGAGCAAGGTGGCTCATGCCTGTAAATCCTAGCACTTTTGGAGCCTGAGATGAGAGAATCGCTTGAGGCCAGACTGAGCAAGAGTAAGACTGCCTCTCTAAGAAAAACAGAAAAATTAGCGGAGCCTTGCCTGTAGTCCCAGCAGGAGAACTGCCTCCCAGGAGCACAGGAGTTTGAGGTTGCAGTGAGCTATGATGATGTCACTGCACTACAGTCTGGGTGACAGTGAACCCTATCTAAATAAATAAATAACGTTCTCTAAATTAACAAACATACATGCATACATAACATTTGGCCCTGAGGGTTCACTTAAAAAGCCAGATTTCTGGATCTTTGATAAAAATGAGATCTGGCAATAAATACTAGGTCCACATCAGTTGCCTGCTCCCTTCAGACTATCGTGCTGTCATTTTTGCCACAGTTCCTCAACCACTTTTTATTGCATCACACTTGACTTGATCTACTCATTTACATGACCAGTATGATACAGGTATTTGAATTTGTGGACCCAGTTTTTGTAGTATTATTTCTTTTCATTTGTTTTGCACTCTCACAGATAATGTCAGCTTTGACTTCATTTTTAAAATAATAAACTGCAAATTTGTTTGACTTCTTGGGATGAAAAGTAGCATTTTAAAATAAATTATTAAGAGACTTTGGAAAGATATTAAGATGTGTAAATTCAAGAAAAATGTGGGAATCCTTAGAAATACCATATCATTAGTGCTGTTAGAAGATGCTATACATGTTGTAGTTCTGATGAATGTGAAACAGAAAAAAGTGCTATTATCTAATGTGTTTTACTAGCATTTACTGATTTTGTATTCTAAATTAAGTCAAGAAACAGAGAAATGGACAATGTATAAAATATCCACAACCAATTTAAAATGTGGCTGTGCTTTTATTAGTATTGTGATCTCTTCAACTTCTTTCCCAAATTTTAATTTATAGAGGTATAATATGCAAGTTTAGTTATATTAAATTCTTTGGAGTGGTGTGCTTTAAGAGCACTAGATAGGTCAGGTCAACCCAAAGAAGTATTAACTGTTTTTTTGTTTATTTGTTAATCTGGATTTACAACACTTGATTATTCAGTAATAGATTAACTGATGACCAGGCTTTGACCTCCCTTGCTACCCAACTGCCTTCTAAACCACTGATAATGGAGCTTAAGCTTTGAGGAGGCAGATGATGGTATTTGGAGAGAGAAGAAATTAAGTTGCTGTATATGTCTGTGTATCTCAAATTGCTTTCTAAAATCAAATATAAAATTTGTAGGGCTAAGTATCATTTTTGTGTAATGAATACTATTGCTGCTCTCCACTCTATAGATAATAGAGTTAAATAAATGCTTATTTGTTTATATAACTTCCGAAATATATTTCAACTAGCCAATTTTTAACTTTCATATTTTTATGAGATTTTTAGCATATAAATTAATGCCAATAAAATTCACTATTTTAAAGTATCCAGTGCAGTGGTTTTTAGTATATTCACTGAGTTGTACAACCACCACCACTAATTTCAGAACATTTTCATCATCTAAAAAGAAATCCCTTACCCATTAGCAGTCACTTCTTAGTCTTCCCTCCTTCCAGCCTCTGACAGCCACTTAATGGTTTTTATTTCTGTGGATTCAACTATTGTGGATATTTCATATAAGTGGAATCATTATATAATATGTGACTTTTTATGACTGGCTTTTTTCATTTGGCATGTTTTCAAAATTTGTTTATGTTGTAGCATATATCAGTACTTCATCCCTTTTTATTGGCAAATAGTAATCCCTTGTGTATATATAAATATATATACACCATATTTTTAATTCATTCATCAGCTGGACATTTGGGTTGTTTCCACTTTTTGACTATTAGGAATAATATTTATAAGAACATTTGTATACAAGTTTATGGATACATGTTTTCATTTCTCTTGGGTTTGTAGTGGAATTCCTGGGTCCTGTGCTAGCTATGTTCCCTTTTGAGGGACTGCCAGACTATTTTCCAAAGGGGCTGTATCCTTTTACATTCCCACCAGCAGTGTATTAGGGTTCCAATTTCTCTAAAGCTTCATCAACACTAAATATTATTTTTCTTTTGATTGTAGCCATACTAGTGGATGTGAAGTAGTATCTCATTGTGGTTTTGATTTGCATTTCCCTGATGAGTAATAATGTTCATCATCTTTTTATGTGTTAATGGCCATTTGATAATCTTTGGAAAAATACCTTTATGTTCCTTAGCCATTTGTATATTTTCTTTGGAGAAATGTCTGTTCAAATCCTTTGCCTATTTTTTAGTTGGGTTATCATTTTAATATTGAGTTGTACATGTTCTAGAATATATAATATTCTAGATATAAGTCTCTTATATGTGTGATTTGCGAATATTTTCTCTATTACATGGGTTGTCTTCACTTTCTTGGTGGTGTCCTTTGAATCATAAGTTTTAAATTTTGATAAAGTACAGTTGTTTTTTTTTTATTGTGTCACTTGTGCCTTCATTCTATGTTCCAACACCAGCTGGCTGTCCTACAATTCAATTTAATTCTTACAGTAACTACCCAGAGTTAGTATCAGATCCCACAAGTTAAAGAGCAAGGCGTCCAACAAGACTGCCCTTAATTCAGACACCAACTGCAAGTTGTGTTCCCAGACTACCCACACTTCTGTCTTGGCAACTACAAATTCACAGCTTCCCATAACCCCCTCAAGATTAATAATTCACTAGAATGACTCACATAACTCACTTACTGGAAGTGCTATCCTTTTGATTAAAGTTGTATTATAAAGGATACAACTCATGAACAGCCAAATGGAAGAGACACATAGGGCAAGGTCCAGGGGCAAATCTAGGCACATCACCTTTCTAGCACATCAGTTTGTTAACCAATGAGGAAGCTCCATTGAGCATCAGTGAACAGAATTTTTGCATGGAGTTTCATTACATGGGCATGATTGATTAAGTCCAAGCCCCCATCCCTTCCTAGGATGTTGGTCTAGCCAGTTTATTCCTCTAATCACATAGTTGGTCTTTCTGGTGACTAGCCTCTATCCTGAACCTATCTAGGGTCCTACAGTGAGTCACCTCAGTAGCATAACAATCACTTAGGAAATTCCAAGGGTTTTTGAAACTCTACCCAGGAACCCTGTACAAAGACCAGATATTCTTTATTCTCCTAATGTCACCTAGCCGATTTTAAGAATCTCATGCTCTACCCACTGAACTAGCCGGGCTACATAGCCAATTTTAATTTGTATATCAGCACTCTATGACAAAAAAGAGAAATCACTCTAGGTATTTTAAAATGTAGGGAATTGGTTGTCCTGATGTTCCAAAGGCACAAAAGAGACACTGAGTAATAAATTCAGGAAGCTACCTACTTCCCTACCCCACCCCTCACTCCCCAGCCCCAACCCACCCCCAGGGTTGTGAGAACA